ATAAACTTAAGTAAAATTATTATAAATTTTAAAACTTAAATACTATAAACTAATATAACTTAGAAAAATAAAAAAACATTCGTATTTTTCCCGGTAGTTCCGGTCCGGTTCATCCCGGTACCGGTCAACAACCCGGTCAAACCGTCCCGTTCCGGTCCCGTTCCGGTCCGGTGCCCAGCCTTATAGAGAACTGGGGCGCAGTGCCGGCTCTTGCCTATAAAATTTTAGGCATTGGCCTTAGGCCCCCAATTTTTGGGGGCCTCAAATTTTTGTAAATAAAAAAATATATATGTATTTTAACCCCATTCAAATAGAAGAAATTAAGGAAACATTGTTTTTGGTTATTACATTTTCTTCGTTAACACTCACATTATTTATCCTTTGTAACTCTTTTTGCACTCTATTTCTTCAAATCTTTGATAGTTAGAGTAATACACTCTCAAAAATATGAATCAATAGTCGAAAAGTGTTGAACAAAGTGCATTACAAATTTTTTTTTTTAATTTTTTTGTTAATTTTCATATTAAAGTAGGTATACCAAGTTATCAACTTTTTGAATCAAATTCTATGATTCTAACTCTTATCTTTAAAGTTTATCAACTTATTACTTATAAAATTGTGTTAATAATTCATATAATAATTGTCTCAATAAAAGGATGTTTTTCAATGTTGAATTGATAAAATCTTACTTAAAACTAATAATTAAAAAAAGTATTTGAAAAATCATTTATATAAAAGATATTAAGTAGTAATTTACATCTAAAAATTTAGAAAAATAAATAGATATAGATAAAATTTATATAGATTTTAGGCTTCTAATAAAAATTTCGCTTTAGGCCACAAATTATGTTGAGCCGCCCCTGCTGGGGCGGGGCAGGAAGATAGGCTAGGTGGAGTAATCGCTCTGGAACAAGTTCTTCGACTGGATCAATGCATGTATGACAGAACTGCCCCCTCCCCCCCTTCCATTCGTGCATTTAGAATCTAAAGCATCATTCTAACATTGTTTGGTATGTTATCAGCCATTCAACGATGCACAAATTGCACAGACATGGTAATCTATATGAAGCGATCTCCCACAATCGCTCTCTTCAGTAAGTCACCTTCTGTATTTCTTCCTAGCCATTTGAAAACTCAACACTGTCAGAACTAAATCAAGGAAATGGTAGACATCCTTATTTTGATGCTTTGTGGTTCCAAAAGTTATCTATCTCTGCCTTTCTACCCTTTTCACTCGCAGAAAGACTCGAAAATCTCCTTCAAAATAGAGAATTCTAGCTTATTGGCTAACTCTCGTCACTCCTATCTCCACAGGTGTATTCATAAGTATCGGAGTTTTGCTTCTACTGTTTGGGAGCTATTTATTGTACAAAACAGTCAAGAAGAGAAGGAACATAAGACAAAGACAAAGGTTTTTTAAGCGAAATGGCGGCCTCTTACTACAACAGCAGCTATCATCCAATAATGAAGGTACTATTGACAAAGGAAAACTTTTCACTGCTAAAGAGCTGGAGAAGGCAACAGACCACTTCAATGAAAATCGCATACTTGGCCGTGGAGGTCAAGGTACAGTATACAAGGGCATGTTACCTGATGGAAAGATTGTAGCAGTGAAAAAGTCTAAGCTGGTAGACGAAAACCAGTTGGATCAGTTTATCAACGAGGTGGCTGTTCTTTCACAAATCAATCACAGGAATGTGGTGAAGCTACTTGGCTGTTGTTTGGAAACAGAAGTTCCTCTACTAGTATACGAGTTCATAATTAATGGCACACTTTACAGCCTCATACATAATGAGAACAATGAGTTTCCCTTTACTTGGAGCACGCGTTTGAGAATTGCCACAGAGGTAGCTGGAGCATTGGCTTATCTACACTCAGCAACTTCTGTTCCAGTCTATCATAGGGACATCAAATCAAGCAATATACTTTTAGACGAAAAATACCGTGCCAAGGTATCAGATTTCGGCACCTCAAGGTCTATTGCAATTGATCAAACTCACCTAACGACTGGAGTCCAAGGGACATTTGGCTATTTAGATCCTGAGTACTTCCAATCCAGCCAATATACTGAAAAAAGTGATGTCTATAGCTTCGGAGTTGTTCTTGCTGAACTCTTAACAGGAAATAAAGCAATTTCAACCACAACAAACCAAGACAGAAGTTTAGCAACAAACTTCCTTTTGGCAACAGAGAGAAATCTCCTTGATACGATTATCTATACAAAAATTTCACAAGAAGGTAGAAAAGAGGATATAATGGCGGCTGCTAATATAGCGTATCGTTGCATGAACTTGAATGGTAAGAAAAGGCCAACTATGAAGGAAGTAACTACAGCATTGGAAGCCATCAGATCACAAATGCCATCTGCAGCAGTAACAAATTTTCAACTGGATAAGGGTGACACAGCAGAAAGAACTGTGATATCAGAAGTTAACTACACATGGACAAACACAAGTACCTCATCATCAGATATCCATCCATTGTTGTTTGAAACTAGTTAATTATTACTCCCTCTATCGGAGAAAGAATGTGTGTGTCTGTTTGTTCAACTTTACAATAGTTTAAATGTCTATTTCTACACACCTATAGTTTGGAGAGCATGGATGCTAGCTGAGGCCAAGTTAAAGGGCACGTAAATATTATGCCTACAATAAGTGGCCGAAAATACCTCTAGCACCGAAATAACAAACAATTTTCATTTGACATAAAGTTTATTTTTTCATATAATAATATAACATGAGTTATGCTGCTTAATTCCTATAGATATTATGCCGATAGAAACAAAAGCTCAATTCAAAACCTACAAGTTCTATCGTAAAAGGCATAACTTAGTTCCTACCCAACTTATGCCTATAGAGGCAAAACAGCAGAACCCACAAGCAATGTCGTAAAAGGCATAACTTAGTTGCTACTGAACTTACACGGAGACAAAAATTCTCTAAACTTATGCGTCGCGAAATTAGGGTATAGCACTACTACATAAATTATAAAGCATAACTTAATTTCTACAAAATTTATGTCAAGTGAGGCAAACGTTTTCCAAACTTATGTGTAGCAAAATTAGGTCATAAATAATTATATTTTGGTCTATAAATTTTCATTAAACAAGCCGCAAAAATGAAAATTAAAGGCCATCACATTTGAGTGCTATAATTAAAAATCATCCTACATCATATATTATAGTAAAAAAGTTAATTGAATTTAAAAAAAATTCAAGTACGATATCCATATTGTAAATGAGTGAAATAGTGTATGTCCATACTAAATACATTTAGTAAATAATGTAGTGACCAAAGTTTGTCTTTGAGTTTCTCATCAGTATATGGCATGAAGTTTGTCTCGTTTGAGTTTCTCATCGGTATATGGCCTGACAGATTTCAAAACTAACAACATTAACTAACCATTTGTACATAATAATTAACCTTGTTAATTTTATTGAACAATTTACGAGTTCGATAAACATTCTGGCTTCTAAATTGTTATATCACAATTTACAAGAAAAATAATTATTTTTTATACCAAAATTATATTTTAGCCAAACAAATAAATATTTCAATATGTTAATGACTTGTCGACTTTAGGTCTCTCATGAGTCGAAGTCCACCAAAAACTTTGATATTATTATATACCTAGTCATTTATATGTATTTATAGTTTATAGCTCAGTATAAAAAAAAATCAGTATTCATGTCTTATTTTATAATTGGAAAGATATTTTTTAAATTAACAAAATGATAGTCATTTGTTGCAATACCACATCTTCATTTTTATTGTCAAAACTTTTTGATAAATAATAAGATTTAAGTAATTTAATTCAAAGTTATAAAATATTAGACAAAATTATATTGTCAATTAACTAAAAAATATTTCTTTCTTAAAAATATAATATATTCCTAACTCCGTGACTATAAGGGAAATAATGAATTTTTCTAAATATTAATTGTAAATTTATAATACAAATAATAATTTTTAGTGATTACAATAAGATTTTTGTTGTATATTTAATGTATTCTTAGGTAATATACAAGAAATTACAAAAAATTATGTTAAAATGACTTGAAAATGATATTTAATTCTATATAATATATAATTTTAATTATCATAAATAAAAGATTTCATTTTTTTAAATTTTAAGAAACATAACTTTATAATTGTGCATCTAAAAAGATTAAAATGGTGAATTTTAAAAAATATACATGAATTTTATTTAAAATACTTATAATATCTTATTAATTCGTGATTTTAGTCTATTAATTACACTAAGCCGCGCCTAACCGTGACAGTGAAGAATGTTCGTGAAACGTTCGTGTGGTTTCACCGGAACTCATTAACTTGTATACATACTTTGTATATGTGTAAAAATATTAGTTACATATCTAAAATATTTTATTGTGACTTTGATTATTATTTTATATTAATTTGGAGATCGTCGTAGACCCATTAACTTAAATTTTTTGATTATATGCATTTGATGCATATGGTCTCAGTTGAGCTTATTTTTACACAAAATAATTTATTTTTTAAAAAATAATAATAATATTGATAACACCCCTGGAATTTGTTGTAAACTATTAGTTTCAATCTCGAATTATTGATAGTCTTAAAAATACCCTTCTACTTGATTAACTAAACTTAGATCACTCCAACATAACAATTGGTTTTCAAACTCTTATAGAAACGTAAAACTCTTAATAAAAAGTCGAGAGAAGTGTTGAAAACACACTTAAACTTGACGAAAATTTAAGAGTGAATTTCACTCATGTTGTAAGATCGGTGGTGTATTTAAATTCAATTAACTAAGTAAATTAGTGTTTTTAAGACTATCAGTAGTTCAGAAATAAAACTAATATAATTCATACCAATTTAGGGGGTTTAATACTCCTCTCTTTAATATTTTTTTTTTGGTGAAGTGGGCCGAAGTAAATGGATGACCAGGCCCATAATTAAGTGGAAATAAAGCCCAACTAACAAGCACTACTAGGGCTCTAGTCCAATCCTTATTCATCTGTTCTAGCGCTGAACTCTGAACATCTCAAAAAGGTATGTAACTGCAAATCTTCTGTAATTTTTAACTTCGTGCTATCATTTTTCTATCAAACTCAAGCTAATTAGTATAATTGCTTGGAATTAGATTCAAGTTTTGCTGATATGATGTACCAAAAATAATTTTTCTGTTTTAAGATTCATTGAATTGGTGTGTTATGCAGTTGGAAGAAGTAAAAACTAAATCAAATAAGGAAGAGAGTATGGGTGAAAATCCTACCCACAACAAGAAAACTGGTTTGCCCCGAAAACGTTTTTATCGAGCCCGTGCTCATAGTAATCCGTTAAGTGACTCACATTTTCCGATTCCTATTTCTCCTGATGAGGTTGATTATTCTCTACATTATCCTGAAGTGGTTAAAGTTGATCCTTCTAAAAGGATCGAGTTTGCTGATGTTGGTTGTGGATTTGGTGGTTTATTGATTGCCCTCGCGCCCCTTTTCCCTGATAATCTTATGATTGGGATGGAGTTGAGGGACAAGGTGACTGAGTATGTGAAGGAGCGGATTTTGGGGTTGAGGACGACTAATCCTGGTCAATATCAGAATATTTCTGTGGTACGGACAAATTCAATGAAGTATATTCCTAATTATTTTGGGAAAGGACAGCTTAAAAAGATGTTTTTCTTGTTCCCTGATCCTCATTTTAAAGAGAAGAATCATCGTCGACGTGTGATTAGTCCATTCTTGTTAGATGAGTATGCGTATGTGCTTGCAGTTGGTGGAATTATATACACAATAACGGATGTTGAGGAGCTTGGTGAGTGGATGAAATCATGTTTGGAAGAACATCCGATGTTTGAGGCACTTACGACTGAAGAACTTGAAGCTGATCAGGTTGTAAAGCTCCTTACTGCTGCAACAGAAGAAGGACAAAAGGTAGCACGCAACGGTGGACAAACATTCCGAGCTGTTTTTAGACGAATTGCAATTCACTGAATGGTATTGTCAAATTCTAGGGATTTTTCATACCTCCTGTTTCGTGGTAAGAGATGAGATATCCTCCGTCTTCTGTTGTTGAGTTAATAGAAATGTGGTTACCACAACTAATTATAGATACTTTGTGACTGATCATCGAGATCAATCACCATTCTGCGCCTTTTTCTTGATTTTGATTGTTCTGTTCTTGAGAATGCAGTTAGTTTATCATTCATGAAGGCAGCTCATGCGCTTTTCTAAACCTGATCTAGCAGAATTGATTAGAATGGATTGTTTATCATGAATTTGCTCAACAATTAGATTCGCAAGAATGTTTTGCTATTGTATTTTGACAAAAAATTTAGGTGTATTAGGACAAGTAGCCATCTCTATTGAGCTTCAAACGTCTTGTATTATGCTTATATCATAACTTAATCTTTCTGATTGTTAAATTCTTAACGATATTTGTGTTTCCAGTAGATTGTGACATATACCATTCTCATTTAGTCATTTGGACTCTTTATTGTCTCTTCTCCACCCTGGAATGCTAACCAACTGTTGTATTCTGCTTCCTGCCCCCATTCCCCCTTGAACACCCAAGAGGGAGGGAGGGTTTGAGTGGTTGAACTTCTCTTGGGCGAATCTAATGATTGTGTCTGGACTCCTCTATTCATCTGTCAAACTCATTTATGAATGTTATGATGGTGTTGTGTATTTTCGTTTCTTAGTTTTTTTTTTTCTTTTTCTTTTTGCATTTTTGTGTTTATCTTTAATTTGCATATTTTTTTTTCCGTTTCCCACCCGATCTTTAGTATCCACATTGGGGTAAAACACTTCCTAACAAAAGCAACTATGTACCCAAGCAACTCGGGACATTGAAAATTTAATCCAAATTTGAATGTTGCTATATAATTATCAGTGTTGGACTAGACGGGACACTGAATTTAATTTGCAGTTCAATATGCTTACTTTTCAAACACGTTTTTTAAATGGATAGTTGTAGATTTTCATAATTCAAACACATGCCTAACTTAGTACCGGTGTGGCCAAACTTCTAAACCTTCGCTTATTTCGGCTAAGTGTTTTTTTTTTTCTTCCATAAAATAGCTTTTGAGAAAAATACTCTTGGAGAGAGTTATCGTGTTTGTCAATTAAAAAAAATGTGTTTTGCGCGTCAAATTAGTAAAATGATATTAAGGTTCATTTTCAGATTTGTACTTATTATTCAAATAAAGTGATTAGTTAAAATTGAAATATACGGGATGCAATAATAATAATTAGCCTCCAAATATATGAGATTTCGATAAATTTCTCTACTTTTATATTCACAAGAATATCATTAATTAGGATCACGAAAATTCAAACAAAAGCAAGTTGAGGGTAAATAGTTGATATGTAGCCAGTAGATTAAGGAGAGCTCTCTATATAGCATAGCTCTCACCTTTGCCTAGAATAACACTATTAGTTTGATTTGCTGACAAAATTATTTCAAAGATTATAATTTTAGGTATCAATACTTATATATATTTATTAAATTAAAATTTAACCTCTATATGCAATATAATTTTCTGACAAAGAGGTGTCACTAGTTTAATTAAACGTTTGTAATATTATTTGGCTTCCATTAATTGGAGGATTTCATCCTATGTTTAAACTAAAGTTCACATATTATTTAGAACCTAGATAACTAAAACTTACCACAAATTACAAGTACTTTTTATAGCCAAAAGTTATTTGATATGTTTTTTTCTTTTCTCTTTTTTTTTTCTTCGCATTGATGAATGTGTACCTAATTTTCCTAAGGTACCATTATTGATATCTTATATTAACAAATTATAAACTAAGAAAAAATAATTAACATAAACATAAGCAAACTTGTCTTTATTTAATTAAGTATAGAAACAATATGTCTTCAACCAAGTGGATGATATTCAATATGATATATTTACTAAGTTTGATCATTTTTGTATCAAACTCAGTTGAGTTTTTAGAAGGGCGTCGCTTGCTTTTATAAAAAATTCCTCCAATTGATGTTACAATATTAGAAGATTCTTTGGCTCCTGCCCCATCAATCCCTCAAAAAAATGATGTTGATGATCATGATGATGGTTCGGTATTAACTTCTGTTTCCATCTCAACTCATGATGATCATGACGATGATAATCATGATGATGATCATGACGATGTTATCCATGATGATTATGACGATGATAATCAGGATGATGATACAGTATTAACTCCAGCATCCAGCCCAACTCATGATGATCAGGATGATGATACAGTATTAACTCCAGCATCCAGCCCAACTCATGATGATCATAATGATGATAATCAGGATGATGATACAATATTAATAATCATAATGATGATAATACAATATTAATTCCTGCTTATGTTCCAATTCATGATCCTATGGCAAAAATTATGATTACTAGTAGTTAATTACTCCATTTCATGTTCTCTTGATTAATGGAGTTTAATTATATATATATTATAAAAATAAAACAGCCGTACGTTCTCATGGCTAGCTACAAGCTTAAATTATGTAATATTCTCTACATGCATTTTGATAATAATAAAGTGAATATATAATCACCTTTTTCTCTTCTTGTCACTTCCATGCCATTCTGAGGAAATATTGTGTTTGTTTTTGTCTTTATTCTTGTTATTATGTATGGTGTGCTGTTACTGGAGAAATTAAAATAGGTTAAGGTTTCGTGTTATCCTTTTTTTTTTAAGAGATAAAGAGTCGAAAACATATCTGAATTATATATAAATTTCACATCCTAACTATTAATTGTTTCTTTTTTCTGTTTGAACTTTCACTAGTGTTTTATTTTCCTATCAAAATTATCACCATCTATGTATTAAAACACCTAATTTAGTAGATGATGATAATTCATACAAAAAAAAACAACAATTGATAGTTGGCCAAATCATCTAAAATAATGTCTTTTGCGGCTATAATCTCATCAAGTAGGCACTTAATGCTCTGCTCTTCCAGTTAAAGTCAAGCTTTGGATTTTTACTCTCTAGTAAAAGTTCAATCTGGCTTTTCATTGGGAAAGTAAGAGATGAATACAGTTGTGAACGGGCTTCTCTTCCTAGTTCGAAAAGTTTTAAGTACAACAAAAAGCTTTTTTCAGATAAATGACTGAATGGTGCTAGAGGAGAGTATGTTAAGACGTGTTCAAGCCAAACTATTACTTTCTCCAGGTACTATTGAAAGAAGAATGTCGTGTTGTCCAGCACACTTGACCGCTGCGATCGACCCGATATACCAAAGCATCCTGGCCAGCCAACCAAAGAATGGAACAGAGATCTACTGATCATTCTCTATATCATAAGCATATTTAAAAGGGATGAATATGAAGCTTTCCTCAAGTTTTCTTCTGCTCTGAAATAATTATAAATAATTGATGTTCATTTATAACAAGCTTCTTGACTAGGTATAACATGCTAGCACAATATATTGTCTGCTAATAACTATAAATAATGTTTATTTATAATGATGATTGTGCCACAGCCTCTTTGCTAAAATGTGGGCATGTTGGTCCAAAAAGTTTAACAGATACAGTGCTTTATTTTGGTCAAAAAGCTCTGCACCTTTCACTTTATAATTTTGCACTTGAAAACTCTGCTAGACATATATAGTAGCTTCCGTCTGGTTCTCCATGACCCTAAGAGATAATTAGATTAATTCTAAGAAAGCTCTTTACTTCGTTTAGCTGCAGCAACAACTGCATTCATCAAGATACCGCGAAATCCAGACTTTTCCAACTCGTGAATTCCAGCAATGGTTGTACCCCCAGGTGATGCAACATCATCTTTAAGTTGACCAGGATGCTTGCCCATACCGGAGACCATTGATGCTGCTCCTAGCACCTGCAACAGAGAATCATTTGGTCATTCGACCAGCAGTATGTTTGAGGGACATGCATGTTACTCTCTTGAAGAAAAAAAGGAAAAGGAAGTCTCTTAACACAGGCATCACTAATGTGCAAGTCATATAAATTTTAGCTCGAGTGAATCTTACACGGAGAACAAGAAAAGTTCAATGTAAGAAGCGTGAAAAGATGACTTGTCCTTGTCAATAACAAAGGAGAAGACACTCAAAAGATGATCACAATTATGCCAGTTAACTAAAATAAGCCACGATATAAACAATTGCTTTGTGAGGCATTGAAAAGGACCTTAATTGATGTAACTTGCAAGTAGAAAGATGATACAAGTTAGTACATTTCTTAAAAAAATAACTGCACTTGTATAGCTAAGAGGATGCAGGGTAAGTTAAAGAACATATAATATTATAGCCTAAGAAATACAGATGATGGTAAATAAACCCAGTCTTCGCGAACAACCACCTTGCCTCTTATAGAACAAATGAACCTTGACATCGAAAAGGATCTCAGGCTGAATCAGCGAGAGCAAAAGAACAATTTCACTATTTCAAACAACATAACCATACTAATATATAGCACGATGGAGTATGAATAAATTGGTGGATAACTGTCAACTTACGGTTTGAGAGGCTAGTCCAAGTGCAAGCTCCCTCGGTAAACCAGCTGCCACCCCTCCATCAGCCAATGCCTCTATTGCTAGAAAAACATAGGCTGGTCCACTACCACTGACATTTCAAGGAGAAAGAAAAGATGTTGTTAACAATGGTACTGGATTCCAACTTTGCATGAGCGCTGCTTGTCTTGCAAAAGCAGTTCAAGAACTGAGATCCCCAAGCGGGCTCAACAAACAGCTAGTCACAGGCGCAGAAATTGGCATCAAATTAAGTGATAATAAGTGTAGTTTTAGAAACATTAAAGAAGGAACATGCCTTAAACCTGTAACTGCATCAAACAGCTTCTCATCAGCTTTCCACACCTTACCAATAGCTCCAAATAACTGGGAAATTAATTCTCCATCTTCTGTTGTTGCCTTTTCCCCCAAAGTGATGACTATATGAAGACACTTAATTAGGACACATAAATAGCAATAACTGATAACAATTCAGACAGTTATATTAGAATCAACCAGAAAAATTAAAATTGCTAGTGTCTCGGTAACTTACACCAGAGAAAATTTCAAGGTAAAAGATTGACCACGAGAGAATTCATGTCACAAATATTTAAAATTTCCTCAGTAGTCAGTACTACAGCTGTGTGCAATTCATGTCACATTCATACACAAGTTTCCATTTACAGAAAGCACAAACACAATGCAATTCACAGGGATACATGTGCTCTTATAGATGCTCAGTGTATGCTATAAATGCATTGTATAATAAGCATATATAAACAGATATTAGTAGTAGCGAACATCAGGTAACTTCGTGCTGTAAAACGACAGATTGGTAATGAAAGGCAATGTACTAAGAAAGCGCAACTCTATTAGACCTTTATCTGGAAAAAGCTGGAAGAAAGGCGAGAAAGAAAGGTTGCCTACTACTAATGTAAATGTCACAAATATTTAAAATTTCCTCAGT